ATAGTATAGTATAGTATAGTATAGTATAGTATAGTATAGTATAGTATAGTATAGTATAGTATAGTATAGTATAGTATAGTATTAGTTTATTTGACTCAAATTAATGAATTGGAAATACATTAACCATGGTCAATAATCATACACACACAAAAAAACAACAACACAATAACAAGAAATACAGATATTAAAAATACAATAAAATGTTAAAACAGATAACACTAACAACTATTAGGTATTACATTGTAAAATTATGTTAATAAATTATGTTTATATGTTCCTCTTTAAGACAAATGTAGTTATATGAGGGGCAAATACAATTACATAGGTACATTTTGTATGTGGTGCGAGTTCCTTAAGGCCCCCTTCAACCATAACACTCACCCTCACATTCTAGCCCCCAAATGCAATTCCATATGCATGTCCCTCGAAATAGTTATAAACGACCCAAAATGGGGTATATACAAGGTACATTGAAATGGATGAGGGACACTGGAGGGGCAGGATTAGGATTAAAGTTATAGGTGAGGGCCGGGCTCTAAAAAACTTTTACAGATGGGCGGGGCTTAAGGAACCCTTTCCCTCACCTCTATTAGTTCTTGCTGTCTTTTTCTTTGCCGACCTCTTTGGGCATACCACATCCCTATATCTCTCCCTTTCAACCCAGGGGGTGGTCCGTAGCCCCTAGCATGATCAATCTCTCCTCCTTTGTCCCCGTCGCCGTCGCCGCCGGCACCAGTACTACTTCCGAAGTTTCTCCTTCCGCCGCCTCTCATGTAACGCCTCCCTCGTCTGTTTTGGTACGACGACATTGGCTTGTTTTGTTCCAAGGAATATGCGAGGGGGATTGTAATTTGAGCAGGACGAGCGTTGACTGACAACAGATCGAGAAAACGTCGCCAGGTCAATAGACGCATGTGTTGCAATAACCACACTAACTAGCATACACAGTTAACACTGTGTGTCATGCGAGTTGTTTAGCTTGACTGCTTACGACATATTGCGTTGCAATCTTAGAAAACTGTCAGAAAATCAACTATGGAATCAAGATTTCCGTGGGCGCAGCCATTTTGTAAGACCCCCTAACCTTCCTAAAAAAATATCGTGCGAGGGCTTAAGGGGTTGACCATTCGAAACTCTGGGTGCAGAACTAAAACTTATTTTTTTCTACACTTAGTTATTTTTAGATTTTGTTCACGATATTTAAATTTTAGCTTTTCTCTATCAAGTGTGTGTTTTTCTTTATAAATACATTTTCTCTGCAAATTGCACAAGCAGTGGAAATCAAAATCATCTCCATCAAGAGATTTTTAAATAATGGTATCAGCTGCATCCAATTAAGATGTCAGTGTACTCAAGGGAATTAAAAAGGCTGCTGGGAAAATCTATTTTCCTATTGAATTTTTCAAGAAATTATTCTGAATCGCAATAAGCTGCTAAATTGGTACTCATTCAACTACATTTCAGAGCAATTGGAGAAAGTGGTTCTGAGAAGAAAAAAGTTGTTTTTTTGCCATATGTGACATGTTTTCACCCTAAATTTCAGATCAATTGGACAACTTGTTTTTGAGACAAAACAATTCTGAATGTGTTGAGCAATTTTTCAATAAATTAATTATAGTGACATGATATAGTTTTTATTCATTTTATTTATATTGGTATGATGCCACAACATAACTTTCAGATTACTGATAACCAATATGGCTGCAAAACCACATGACTAATCAAAACTCCACCAGTTCGCATAAACCCCAATCTACATGCAACGCTTCAACTCAATTTAAACAGACTCATGAAAACAAAATGGTGGAAGAAGAACGGAACTGAACGATAAAAGTAGGGCTCCAAATAATATTCAAAAGTTATTGCAGTTCTCAAGTTTAAGAAATAAACTTTTAACAGTCAGAGAAGATCAGAAATATGGCTCTAAAACTGCATTCACTAAAAAAAATGGCCACCAGTGTGTCAATGCACAATTAACAGGGATCCAGATCTGGAATTGCAGAAATGTTTGATTTTGATGATTTTTATCATTAAAACAAATGCAATTTGGCCATCTTGAATCAGATAACAAAATGAATAAACATGTATATGTGCCATGTATATGTGATGTGTAAGTGAAGTTTGAACATGGCAGAGATATAGCTATATGGAACTGCATTTATTACAAACTTGTCACGAGTCAGCCATTTCGAATCGGATCTGAAAACAGACATGTATCGGGGTTCCATATTGTCAAATGCTAGTAACCAAGTTTGAACAATCCATACATGATCAAAATCTGATTTTGATGAATTTTAAACATTAAACAAACCAAAATGTGTTAAAAAAATGGCCAACAGGCAGCTATTTGAAACTTGAAGGTCCCATTATGTACACAACCTGGCTCTAGAATGGCAGAAATGCTTTATTTTGATAAATTGTCAACATTAAAATGGCGGCCATCTTGCATCAAACATTCGTATGTATGACATGTATATAAAGTTTGAGTATTGGTCAAGGTGTGTCAGAGATATGGCCCTGGAATAGCATACATTAAAAGCAAATAGCCACCAGGCGACCATTTTGAATCCATTCTGAATCAAAGAAAGCTTAGAATAAACCGTGTACTGAGAGAGTATTGAAGACACATTACAATTAATTCAAAATTTTACATAAGCTTTTCAAACAAGAAGCTTGGCAACTTATATTTGCCTGCTATGTAAGATGTACATTTACAACATGAAATATTGAAATTTATAATACTTAGAGATGCATTCGATTTTACATTGTGGTTTTCAGTCTGATTCCAGAGCAACTCTGTGACAAATTCAATTTAAATCAGAAATGAGCTAATAATAATTAGATAATCAATATGCACGTTTTTCAACATTAAATTATTATCCCAATGAGCCAAATGAATTATGCAAATTAATCAATTATGGATATATAGACTCAAAACTCATTAGATCGCCACATTGTCATAGAGTACTGTATATATGTATCAAGATTCATTGAAGTAAGACAAGTACTTGAAATATTGATGGAAAAGCTGACTAATTATATGCAAATCTTGTAATTAATATGTTAGAGACCAAGTTTATTAAAATGCGATTAGAACCAACAAATTATGAATTATTATGCAAATTAAGTAATAAGCACACAGATTTTAACCAAAAAACTAAACAGGTCTGTGCATTGTCCTATAGAATCTGTGTACCAAGTTTCATGTGAAATGTGATTTGTACTCAGGATATCAGTGCAAAAGCCAAAAACTGACTAATCATTATGCAAATTATGTACTTAATAAGCATGGATGGTTACACAGAATACTCAAATCTGTACATTAGTCCAGACCATCTATGTACCAATGAGTGGTATTCTTTAGAAATCAGTGGAACAGTCGTCACGTGTAACAGCTAAAAATTAGCTAATTATCATGCAAATTAGGTAATTAATATGCATGGATTTTAACCTAAATCTAATCAAATCTGTGCATTAGCCTAGAGCATCAAGTTTTATCAAAAACCAACATAATGTTCTTGAGATATCAGTGGAACAGATGAACACACACATGTATGCACCCACACAAATTTAGTAAAGGGGGTAGGTATGGTAACAATTATATTACCAGGGTAATATTAATATAAATTGAACCATACTGTCCCCCTTTACTAAACCTAATCTATGCAAACTTAACATAAATTTGATTAAATATTAAAATAAATTATGAACATAGTGAGGGTGACACAATGTTCTGAAATATGAAAGTCAATTTTTTAGCTTGGAAGTAGCGACGAAAATGCAATGCAATGCAAACCACAAATCACAATGATTTGAATGCTTACATTCATATCAAACTCTCAGTATCTCAAATGCAATTCAATTGGTGGTGATCACCTGAGATTCAAACTCACTTGGTTGACACATTTTTATGTGCTGAAATATGAAAGGCACTTTTTGCTAGGAAGAAGCTGCAAAAATGCAGGCAAGACAAATTTGTGTTCCGCGCCTTTCCAAAAACATTCAAAAATACTGTTACTAGGAATTGACTAGTTCCGAGTTACTAAGCTAACATGCACACGAAAAGGAAAGGGTTGAATTTATGTTAATTACTACAAGTATGCAATTTTGGACAGATATTTTACTGTAATACCAATGAAGTTATATAACATCCTGTCCTGGTATCCATGCATATTATTGTAAGGTATCTCAGGGAGACAACAGACAGAGATGTCTTTTCAACAGCCAAACAGACTCACAATTGATTGGTTATAAAATCAACCTCCCCTTCTGTCATGAGTATGTATTGTTGCAATCAGAAAAACTGAAACGCATCTATTGTAAAAATGCAATAACAAATTATCAGAATATATTCAGTACTGATGATATATATTCAATAACAATTAATATTCATCTATTGGTTGTGTAAGATTTACAATTTGATGAAAGGACCATACATTGCAATTCAAATGTCATTATATTTAATATATAAAATTAATATAAAAATCAGAAAGTTAATTACATGTATCTGATGCTAAAACTGACATTCCTGCACTTACAGTTCCTGTTGGGTTAATATGGCATAATAATGCCATATTAATGCACTATGTGTCAGCATTAGTATTTGCAATGTACACATGCAAAAAAAAGTCAGGAGAGACAACAGTGACACTCAATGTCCAGAACTGTTGCCTGGCACAAAAGCAATTTAAAAAAAAAAATATATGGCATATTTATACATGTAATGTACGATTAACATCAAAGTATGATTTGATATCAATATGTCATTTTAGTCAATTTAAGTTTTATTGACAAAATATATTACATTAATAAACAAAAAATGCAGAATTATACAATGTCATTGCAGAATGACCTCAACAATTCACAATATAAGGGTCCCACCTTATTACTGGGAATAGCCAAAATGAATGCGAAAAAAATGGTGTTAGCAGGCAATGGGTTAATAAACTCCAGAATCATTTACTTGGAATTAATACTCTCAATAATTGATATTTGATAATTTAAAGGATTTTTCAAAGTTGCAAGCCATCTTGCTAACTGACTGTCTGAATAATTCTCTGAACTGCTGTAATGGTTTAGCAATGTTTGTGACTGGTCTCATTTTACTCAGGCTCTGACTATTAAACTATCAGACCCTGGATTACTAAAGTCAACAACATAAGTGATATCCCTCAGTGATTTGGAAGGACAAATTAAATTGCAACAACCTCATTATATACAACTTCTGAAAACTACATTATTCTTACCAACATTTAGTAAGTACTGATAAATATGCGAATCTATATTGCAGCGATTTTATGTTTCTTACTAAAACCACGGCATGGCAGCTGGCAGGTTTGTCTCCCAACATCTTTATTAAACCAGGAATCGTACAATATGCCAATGCGCAACCAGTCCCTGTGCTGAAAGTATGGCTGCCTTTACAAACGTAACCAATTATCTGACGATTGCAGGAATTTTTTACACTTGATACTAGACTGTTTGATGCATTTATTTCTGCCACTAACGCTGCTTTCACCTCAGTATCCAGCTTGGTTTTCCTTTTCTTACATTTTTTGTCTAGCTTTTTCAGAATTAAGGAAGGATCTTTATGCAATGTCTCTAAGGGACCTCCGTAATTCTTGTCCCTGTAAAGCTGCTGGAGATCATCTGAATCTGCCAGACAGACCATTCCAAACAGTGCTGGCACCCCTCTGTGCACCATTCGGAGTGACACACATACCAGTGCATGACTATCCCCTTTGAGAACTGATGACAAAGAACTCGTAATGCAATCTTTACCCATATTTTTATATCTATGACATGATTTTGCAAGATGTCTTAACCGTGACCTTGACCTGAGTACATATACTGCATCCCTGGGTACAGAATCAGTGACTGCCATGTCATCTACCTTCAACTCGTTAAGCACCATTTCACTAGCATCCACATCTATTGATGATGTTTGTTCCTTCGCAGAAATTGAAACTGATGTATCATTCCACTCAACAACTAATTGCTCCCATGGGGAACAAAACGGTGCCACAACTCCAAACTTTGCATAATTGGTTCTTTTATCGGGTGGATATCGACTGTATTTGCTTTCCAACTCATTTTTTCTCAGGTTACTTGTTTCATTGTAAGCCAGGGTGTCTGGGAAATCATACGGGAAATATGGTAACCCTTGCTGGGCCGATGCACTTTGCGCTTCTCTCTCCCCTCCTGCTCTGGCTCCACGATAAATCAACGCAATCCAGAAAGCCATTCCCCACCCACTCGGAATCACAATATCCCACCCACCTCCAAACCCAAGGGAATTCTGCATCTCCTGACAACTCATCTGCTCTTTAACGTCCTCTAGTTTTCCAGGATTGTGCAAGAGGAGTATGGGAATTCTTGATTCTTCTCTTCCCAGTTGGAGTACAGTACCAGGAATGAGGTGTTCGGCACGTTTTTTGTTCAGCTCATCGATGGAGAATTTTTCTACCGATGCTTTCTTTCTAGCTTTCTTTTCCCATATTGGTGACTGGCTGATGCCATCTGGGAAACGTCTACACAGATCAATTCTTTCATTTGCTAAGGGTTCTGTGAAGAAAGAAAACATTACTAAAAAGTCAGAATGATTTTCTTTTAATATTTTTATATTATGTGATATTTGATGTTATAAAGATGAAGAAATTTAATAAAAATTAAGGACATCGTGGGTAAGTTCAGTGATAATTAATATCCAATACTCTGTGAAAAGTCAGTATTGTTGGTGCCTACTTTTTTATTATTTTCAACAATTTTGATCAAGACTTGACAATTTGCTAAAAGTATAGAAAAATTACAGTGACAGTGCACAAATCATTACAAAGAATTATATTACATATATGGTATGCATTTCATATAATTTTCTTTGCTAATTTTGATCTGATGAACATAATTTCCTATTGCATATACGTCTTGATGAACATTGTTTTATTAAATATGGAAAACAAATTATAATGGTACATTTGTAGTTTATTCTGTGAAAAGTAACAAAAGTTGACTTTGGCATTTAAATTATTAAGAAGTCATGATCTGACAGGAGCCTTGTCCGTTTTCAAAACAAGTTTCTATAGGAGTGTATATAAAATCCCCATGATTAACATCACAGAGTCGTCTCTGGAATGGCAATCATTGACACAAAATACATGTGTAGACAGACACACACACATGCATGCATACATACATACATACATACATACATACATACACTTCATCTGAATGGGAACTAAATACTAGTTGTTTAGTCAACAGAATCTATAGCAGCCTAAATCACGACCAAAAATAATGTAATACAGGCACTGTGATATGAAAAGTGATTGGTTGTATATACACACCTGTTGTATTTTCAACTGCGGTCATGACTTTTGTCTTTTTCTGAGGCAGTAGAAGTCGGGGATCCTTGACGGTAAGCGATAATACACACCCTGGAGACAACTCACTGGATGTACGAATGTTTTTAAGATTCTTCCAAACTTCTTTCTGTCTATCATGAACTGCGGCATTCTGGGTGTCCTGAAAATAAATTAACAGTGGGAGTTAAAGTGAAAATAGCTGTGACTTTGAACATAGAGATGACCAAAATCTTGTCGAAAATATTGTTTTAGACACAAAGTGACACTATATCACATAAAAAAAAATCAAGTAGACGCCATTGTAAAATTCTATAATGTGATACGAACTGTAAACAATTTTGATGCACACTATTATGATTAGTGACACATAAAATCATCAGTGAGAAGTCATCAAAGTATTTGTCATGATTTCATCCCCGGTGTTCAATAAATTGTCATCTTGTAATCCCTGTGGTTTGTGTGACGAAACTGAATGGCGCCCTTTGGAAAACTGGACACAACTCAGTGACCATTTTGTTTCACTTGCATGTGATTTAATGTACGGTACAACGTTGATATATACAATGTAGCATATACGCTATGCTTTCAGTATCCACATTATGGCAATGGCCGTTACAAATTGGCACTAAAGACACAGGAAATGTTTTAGTAAAAATAAAAATTAGAGAAAAAAGATTGATAGTTAGATTGAAATGTTCCTCAATTAGAATACCCAGGTATTTAAGGTTGCAGCTGATAATATTCCTCTTTTGTAGAAGTATACTATTGCATGACTTTCATTTAAAAAATGAACTACCACATTCAACAAACAGAAAACAAGAGTTATTTATTTTGGCTGTCTTAACTTACATACACAAATATTTTATACAAACCTCATAATAGGACTCCCACCATTTCATCTTTTCACATTCCTCAATGTCACTGCACTTAACCTCCGCAGACTGCAACACATCAAGAAGAACAGAATGTGATAATGGGCCTTGTAAACGAAAGCGCAACAGGTCAAACTTCAATGTTCTTATATGAACACATGAATTCTTAAACTGTCTGTCTGTTTTAGTAAAATCAAGTGATGACTCATCTCCTGTATCCTCCACTCCATCACTTCCTTTATCAATTTGCGTTCTCTTTTTTTTCATCTTCTCCATCACTGGTTTAGCATGAAACATTTTCACTATTTCATTAAGTACAGTTTCATAACTTGATGGATGAACCCACATCCATAATTGTCTGGATTCCGTAGAGGAAAACTTATCAGCTGCATCAGTGTTAGTTTCTTCTTTAATGGCTACTCTATCATCACATTCACATGATAGACACTTCCATAGGAAATTGACGACAGATATAGCACTGTAGGGGTATTTATCATACTGGTAAAGCATGGTAGTACCATGCCGTTTACCTCCAAGGTAGCTTAACGATGCAAATGTAAGTCCTTCAGAAAATAAAATAATGTTGTCATGTGTTATTTTTTGTAAGCATAAAAGCATTTTCCAAATTAAATGTCGTAATTCGTACACAATTTCCAATTTTGATTGTTAAACACAAATTATCAAAAATATTATAAAAATGTAAAATGTAATTAGGAATTTGCTTTATCTGTAAAGTGTAAAAGCCTATTTTTTACTTTAAATTTTATTTCCTGTAAAAACGTAAAATGCAGTTTTTATTTCCTGTGACATGTACAGCTATCCCCACTTTATATTGCATCCAAGTTTTTTTATACATCACATGGAACATATAAAAAAATGATTTTTAATGATTTAATTTTAATTTCATTATTTTGATTTTCAATCGTACAATGTATTTATCAGGTTTTAAATTCTGCAGATTTTTTAGTGAATGAAAAAGAAATGAATGTACACACCTGAGTCTGTATTTGTGAGATGTGCTAGTGATTTCAGTAAATATCCCTGAGGTCCGGTAACTTCTATTACACCATAGTAAGATATATCCTGAAATAAAATACAGGGTTGATTACTGTAAAATACTGGATTTAATTTTCGCTAAAAAGACTTTTTGGGTGTTTTGTATGGAGTTTATTTTCACAGATTTTTGACGAGTTGAATGTAAAATATAGGGAAAATGGTGTAATCGCTGGATTTTATTTTCTCTGATTCATTGCTTCAGTGAAAATAGCGAAAATTAATTTCAAGCTAAAATAAAGTATTATACAGTAGTTCATTGACCGAGAAATCTTATTGTACAGTGATGAATAAAAAAGTTATTAGATATTAATTTAGAATATGCAAATTAAAAAAAAATTGACAAGTATATATAATCAAGCAGTCAATCTACAAGATTGTGATTCAAAAGTTAAAAAATATTTGTTGATCCAAAGATAATATCTGAAGCTGCCAGCTTGGACAACATTATTATGTAAGTATGTTTTAGCCATGAACACTAGAGATCTAGAAGAGGTTTAGCCCAAAACTAGCCAACAGAAATGGATCAAACCCAAAGATTGAACGAGTTGAAATTATTAGCAATATTTGAATACAAACGAGTACTAACGGTATTTCACATACTGAACATGTATGAGACATGCCTCTGCTAAACTATAAACGTTTAAACAAGACAGTCACCTGTTAGCCATTCAGGATTTGATGGTACAAAAATGTGAGCATGTGTGATATTGATACATTTTTGGCCTTAAAATGACTGCCATTTGGTCACTATGTGTGAAGTTCAAATTTATCGATCAAAACTACATTCCTCAAAACAAAATGGCCACAATTTGACCATTTTCAACTAGATCCAAAAAATGTGCTACATACATCATCATGGACCCATTTTTCCCCAAGTTTAAACCAAATCTGTCCAAACATGACTAAGATGCAGTTTTAATGCAAATGGTGAAAATGTGTGATTCTGTTCATTTTTGGTATTAAAATGGTTGACCTTCTTAAATAGGAGCATACAACAAATGCATGTGCCCTATATGATGTACATTGTATATGTGAAGGTTGAAAACTTGGCATGTCAGATATATGAAACTAAATGGCCGATTTTGAAGTTGATCAGAAAAATAAAATGACATGCAGAAATGTCCCATTGTGTTAAATGAATGTAAGTTTAAAGCAAATCTGTCCAAACACGAGGATATCTGGTTCCAGAATGGTGAAAACTTTAAAATGACTAAAATTTGGCCATCTTGAATCGGATTATGGAACAAATGCATATGCATATGTCTGATGTATGTGTGAAGTAACTGTTGTACCTGATTGGTCTAACATGTGCGAGACATGGTTAGAGTTCCTTTTGTACCCCCATCCCTAACCCTACCCTCCAGCACTCCCCATTTAATTGTACATGCCCCTCCTAAGGACATCTATAGTTATCTAGAGGGAGGCATATTATATAAATGAATTTGGTAACTGGAAGTGAGTGTTAGGGTTAGGGTTAGGGGGTACAAAAGGAACTCTTGATGCATGCAGGTATGGAGGAGTTGAATACACAAATCCCTCATTTTCAGCCTACACTCAAACAGGGGAGTAATTATACAGTACACTACTAATACCTGAATAAGACAATGCTTTGCTAAAGCTCGATACGAGGCTCTTACACTCTTTTCATTTGGATGGTGAGGTATTTTGTATCCCCATTTTTCTGACATGTGAAATCGTTTAGCATGCCATATATGGGTTTCCAACCATATGTGTTTCCGTTTTCTTCTTTCATACTCTGCAAATAGATTCTTTGGTCTTCTTCGATGTCGTCTAGACCGCTTGGCAGCCCCACTGTCTTGTTTGTTAGCACGTTTGTGTTTCTGCACCTGTGAAGATGAGAAATTCAATTTTTTTTTACCTTTCATAAAGAAAAAAAGACATGCACATACCTGTAATTCTTTTCTACATTTTGGCCTGTACCCAATGCAAAATTAAGTTTAATTGGTCAATAACTAAAAATTACAGAAAATATAATTTTATCATGCAGTGGCCATTGCTAGCTAATTTGCATTACAAGCCTCGCTTACGGGTCCTCTGCTATGCTTCATACCATCCACTGTTTATACGTTCCGTCAATATGAAAACAAGGCTTGAAACACAAATTGTCAGCAATGGCCAGCCACCTCACTACAAAAATTAATTACAGAAAAATACATAAATATGTGCAAAATGTAACAAAAATCAGACCATTCCAAAACAAAAAACATTAATAATTGAAAATGTTTTTACCAAGACCTGTTCCCTATGAGGAAATTATTGGTTAAAAATAAACATTGAATTTGTAAAAAACAAATAAAAATGCGCAAATATTACAGAAATATTATGTTGTTCAACCATACAACTTCATCAATACCTTACCTCTGCTTCAGCTCTTGCCCGTAGTCTTCTGGGCAATCTTTTTACATTGTGACTCATAGCCCGTCTTCTCATGTGCCTGGGAAGTTTTTGGAATATTCTTCTGCCACCAGAGATATTATTCATTGCTTTCATCATTGTGTTGATTTCAGTGGCCCGTGCCTCAGCAAAGTCAGCTACGTTGATACCTAACATTTGAATCAGGTTAAAAAACATCCTGGCAGTTACATTACAGTTCTTGGAAATTGCTAAAATTTTGTGAATGCTTTAGAAAGTCATACATGGGGGGAAAAAACTGAGGTGACAGACCAAATTTCTGTGGTAAACATGATATTATTATATACACTGGGGTACTCGTAGTTACAAGCTTGCTCGATAACATTGGTATTGACTGCAAATATATACAAATGAGAAAAAAATAGTCCTTTCTAAAGTTGAGTTTTCTTGGCAGTTGATGTACAACTTGAATTGCCTTGGTGCTTTTCAACAATTTGTTCATATTGTTTAATGTTAATATAATTAAATGGAAAAAAAAATCATTCCAAGTGGCCATGAACCTGTACATCTATACCTTAATGAATATTACAATTTTCAGAAACATTTCTTGCACAAATAAGATTATCACAGGCCATGAAATAACTATGCAAATTAGCCATGTGATCATGCAATAATTAACTATCAAATTTAAGATATATAGTTTTGTTTATAGTAATATACCTAGCTGGAAAATAACCATGTCAGGAATATGATTATGATGATTGTTTAACATAAAAATCATTGACATTTGTATCTGATTGTCAAACGAGTACTTGTCCACATTGAGAGATATTGCTCTGGAACAGCATTCATTAAAACAAAATCAGCCATTTTGAATACATGTATATATCTATAACATGACGTATAATGAATATATAAAATTTCAACATAATCAGTCAAAGCATGTCAGAGATATGGCTCTAGAAGCCCATTCATTAAAACAAAATGGCCGCCAGTCAGCAATTTTGAATCCGATCTGAAAAATAAAATCAGGAACTAGTAATGTCTAATGTATTTTCCAAGTTTGAACAAAATCCATCCATAAATGCTTGATATTTGATGATATTTTTAGCACAAAAATAGCTACCACTCGGCCACTTTGAATAGGATTGTTAAACCAATATATCTGTATATCTATGACATGATGTATAATGAATATTAAAAATTTGAACATAATCAGTCAAAGCATGTCAGAGGTATGGCTCTAGAAGCCCATTCATTAAAACAAAATGGCCGACAGTCGGCCATTTTGAATCTTATCTGAAAAACAGAATGATGTGCATCAAGTTCGTATAACATTCAATGTATATACAACATTTTTTTATTAAAATACCTAATGTCGGGGAACTAACTTTTTTTAGTAGTCAATTATTAGTCAATGACAACTTACATCTAGGTGCTAGAGACAACCAATCATCTTCTTGTTCATTTGGTTTCATTTTTATAAAACTGTCTTGCGCTCTTTTTCTCTTGTGTCCTCTTTTTTCTGATTCTTTTGCCTTTTCACTGATATATTGACCAGGATTAGATTTAGTTTCAGACTCCATCTCGACCTATACTTCAAGTAGTACACATTAATTAGTTTACATTTATAATCACAACAACAAATCTGTTTTCTTGCCTCAATGGCAGTTGAATCCAACCAGTTGACCACAACGATGTTACGCCATTAATAAAAGAATGAGTCTAACATACAAGATAAGCCAGTCTCATGAATGGCTTCAGATCACATGGGGAACCAATGAAAGATTTGAAAATGTTTCTCAATGTTATTCATCGGCTGATAGAAATTTGTCTCAGTTTGAATTTTATAAATATTTATAATAAATATTTATAAAAAAGTTTTGCAGCAGCGATACAGAAAAGCAGTTTCCATATTAATTTATAACAGTCAATCAAATATTTCTTTCAAATCCAATTGAAACAATTGGATTTGCTATAATAATATGATGTTCCATGATGTGCCGCAACGCCAATCAGATTCTGATCAAGTCAGCTCGCTGACTGATTGATTGACATTCACTTTACAATGCATGTACATGTGCAGACTTAGTCCTTCGTTTTAGAGGTGTGTATTTATTCATGGTAACATCATGGTGATTGTTCTGATTGGTCAAGTACATCAATTTTCAAATATTGCATGATTATGAAACTTAAATCTTGGAAACTACTTTTCTGAATATGTAGTACACTAGTATACTAAATTTGCTTATTAGAAAATACGTAAAATCTAATAGAGCACTGATCATAAAAGAAAGTGTTATATATATATTCCACTATTTTGCTAGTTTCATTTTTATATTAATACATTTTTTCAGTTGCAAAAAATAAAAAAATCTTATTAATAATTTTTCTCTACAGTCGCTATACAGACTTTATTTAAATTTGATTCTAACATCACTTGGGAAATACCCATAGGGATATTACTCAGTGCAACGACTCTAGCAGCATTTTAAGCGACCAAACATTTGGACGGTCTTAAAATGAGCTTAAAATATACACCGTCACTGTCAACACACCTAACATGAAACATGGAGGAACCACCATGCATGAAATGGAAACTTTGTAAACCAAAGTAATTTCTTCTTTGAAAAAAAGCAAAAACTCACGCACTATCTTCTTTAGTATTTCTGTACTAGTTTATCAGTTTAAATGACAATAGTACATCCACTCAACAGTGCCTCAAATGAAAACATCATAAACTCAGTAAATCTCACCCGGGCACGTTTTTTCGTGGGCGCAGCCATCTTTGAAATTCAAAAGCATTCTCGCGAGAGTTCATATGTAATTGTTGCTAATGTGTAGAAAATTCATCATTTGAAGTTGCTTTGACTTAAATTAAGTTGATCAATTTGATAATTGCATCACAGATTTGTATTAATATGATAATATAATTATGTATTCATATACAGCTCGTGACGCTGTCACCTGACTTAGAAATCCGACATTTGACACGTAGGGGTGAGGTCACAGTGTAACAGTAACAGAATCGTCTTCAGCCTCGCTCACCAGAGATCTCATCTCTTCTTCTTAATCATACTGTAGCTTATTGCACGTGCCTTCTCAGTCATGGCTGGAATAGTTCGACGAATTGTACAAACAGCAAAAGCACCGGCTGCAATTGGACCATACAAGTATGTATATTTTGTTGTGTGTTATTTGTGATTGCGCTCTACTACTTTACAATGGGTCCTTTTTATTATCCAAAAAAAGTACCGAGTGCCTGTGGCCCTACTGGGGGAACTGCAGTTTTATACACAGTCACTTCAGGGCTGAAAATCCAAAGTCGATCAATTATATTTTTCATTATTTTTTCCTCGATTATGCTAGTAATACCGACAAAAATGATATATTTAAGGACTTAAAGGTTGGGGGTTGTCGCGCCGCGTCCTGTTCGTAATAACACTCGTAGCGACGTACACAGCGCGTGTAAAATACATTGTTTGTTTACATAAGACGCGCTATGCGTGACGACCACTGCCCTTTAACATCAATTGGAATGGATGATCATGGATACAACGCACGCAAACAAAAAGACGAAAAGTAACATGGCAAATCAACAATTAGCTAATTTACTTCACTCTGTGGTAGAGGTGTGCACCCGGTTGTCTGGGGTCGAGAATAATGGTCCATATATTTAATAGGTCTATAAAGTTAGTTATCCACTCATGTGCGTTCCGTGTCCATGTCGTTAACAGAGTGACATCAGCGTCTTCTCCATGTAAAAGCATAATCACATGTGAATAGATGGCTAGCTTTATTTGTAGATTTGTATGCATAAAAACGTGCATACAAAACAGCCACATTTGTATGATTGCCATTTCATAAAAACAATTCTTTTTAAATTTTTTGTAACTTTTTTGTTTTTATAACTAATCAGTCTTTTTGTTTTCTTGTTGTGTGTTTTCTCAGTGTTTTTTTTTTTCACAACCATTAAAATACTAAATAGTATTTCATGAGTGTTTCTCAGTGTTGAATAAATTATTATTTTTCCAGTCTGATTAAATCAATCCACCATTGCTAGAGTTGACAAATTCAGATTTGACTACAGCAAGTTATAGCCACCGATGGCTACTGCAAATCTCAAAATTTAATATTCTGAATAAATTATCATATCATTTAAACAAACTGTTATCACTGACAGAGAGGAAGAATTATATATATTTCAGTTTTTTATGATATCGTTTCCCCACTTGCCAATTGATCCTATGTGACTTAACCCATATAGTAATTTACTAAGGTATGTATAAACTTTTAGGTACTTGTATGTTATTTTATTTTTAATCTTTTAGTCAAGCTGTCATTGTTGATAGAACTATGTATATCTCTGGTCAAATTGGTATGGATTTGACTGGTAACCCTTGTTG